ATTATTTCACTTTAATTTTTAAAACATCTAGTTTATAATTTCAACAATTTAAGCCAATATTTTATTAATTTTTTATATATACACTTTTTAGAGTCTATTAGAAATAGATATACTCCAAGGGACCACCGCTTAAGATACCGGGGAATTTTGTTCCAACTTCGGATTTATTTGTTTCAACAGCGGGGGAAGTTGTTCGAAAAAGTTTGTCTGTTTGTCAACAACTTTAAACATTCATGAATAAAATTCCCCGTTGATAAATTGTCGGCGGTATCTTGTTCAATGCTTTGGGAATTGACCTGCTCCTGTCCAAAATTTACGTCCCAAAATTTTCGGCTACACAAACATACAACCAATAAAACAAAAATATTATGAAATTTTTTTGGTGACAGTTTAGGAAACTTTTGAGACAAAAATTTCAATGACGAAAATTCTCGACTGATATTTGCCCCTTTATTTTCCTTATAGTAAATTGAATACAATCGGATACAATAATTATTAATAAAATATGTATATTTTAAGTACCATTGGCCAATTAAGTATGAATTTTATAATCACGTGAGATGTTTTACACTTAAGTGAGTCTGGCTGAACTCTAATTGTACTAAAAATTTTTTAAAAAATTCTCAATTTTTTCTCATCACTTTATCCAAAAATTTTCTCATCCATTTCTCCTTTTTTAAGTGCACATAAATTCTCGTATAATTTTAAATTAAAATTTATTTAAATTAATTTTCACATCATTCCTTTTACGAATTTTTAATTTTAAAAAGAAGCTCCGCCTTTTTTACTAAAATGTTTTTTCCTCATCTTTTCTCAGACATTCTTTGCGCATTTAAAAATTCTTTTAAGACAAAAACTTTATATTTATTCTCAAATTTTTTTAAAGGAAATTTTTTTTCATTAAGTAATTTTTAATTTAAAAAAATTGAGGAAGCCTTTGAACTAACTAATTTAATATGAAAATATTTAAAAAAAGAGAAGCCTTTTAGTATTTAAAAAATATTAAAGTGCTTAATATTTTTTAAATTTTTGTTTTTAATTGACTCAGAAATGGTATTTTTAAATAGATGATGAAAATTTAGTTAAGACAAAAATACAGGATACAGCCCAAAACGGCGCGCGGCCATAAAAACGCAAAGCCATAACTAGCTGGAAAATTCTTGGTCCTTATCAATTTTTGTACCAATCTCTTTAGCTCGATGAGAGTAATTGTTTAATAATAAATTTGGTAAAATTTGAAAATCTTGAAGCAAGTTATGACTTTGGGCCATTATGGCCGCGCGTCGTTTAACTTAATAACTTTCGAGTGTGTTAGTTACTATAGTACATACATATAAAGTTAGGCATTAAAAGGTTTAAATTCGCCAAATATTTTTTGTATTTACCAAGTATAAGTTCCAGAATCTATGTTAACTTATAGTTTTTTTAATATTTTTTATTAAATCAGTTATATCGTTTTTCTTCTTATAACCCGAACCACACGAAATAAAAATTGTACTGTCAACAGAAAGTTTACCCCATGTGTGTTTCCCTAGAAATGAGGGAGAAATATTCTAAAACATACCTTTAATTACATTCTCAGGAAAATTTCCCTATTGTTTTATTAGTATCATAAAATGTTTGCGTGATTAGTCTATTGGTTACCCTAAATTTAAAGTTAGAGCTCTTGATATAACCCTTTGGCTGGAAAAATCAAGATAAAACTTAAGTTTAATATTGGTTAAAAACAGTTACAAAATAAGTCTTTAAAAATGCATAAAATTAGGGTTTATGAGATAAAATTTGCCTGAGAGACAACCATGTAGGCAATTTCACTTAAACAATTAATAAAGCTTTATGACTCTGTTTTCTTTTTTTTGTGATTAACCCTAAACCTTTAGCTTTTTCATTGACATGAGTATTTAAAGTACATGTGTATTATTTAATTATATAATAGCAACAAAACATAACCTTAATAAACATAATCTTAATAATTTTTACTATAATTTAAAAACATTTATTATGGTTTCATTTAATAGTATATCACTTGCGTTAAATTAAATCAACAACAACGAAGCCAACTAGCTAATAGATAATCCCTTTTTTTATTAAAAATATTTTTCGGTTTTTATTATTTTATTAAACATTCCGTCATTGAATTTTAGCACACTTTTTTCTTTCTTATAAACTACCTAAATTAATTTTAGATGCCCTCAATTTATGGCATAAATTTAATAAATACTATCGGAAATAGGGGTACATGTACACAATTTAGGTTTGTCAGAACCGATTTTTTCTTATTTCCTCTACTCCCGATTTTTACAGACCCTAAGTTTTTAGTTAAATCTTTGGTTTTTGGCTAGATTTGCATCCAAGAAACGGAAATTCTTCCTTTACGCACAAGCTAAAGCATAATTTCTCCCATAATACATGCCTCAATTCATCTCCTTTTTCATGTTTTTGATAACTAAAATTATTAAATAATTCAACTAGCAAGTAACTCTTTATCCGCTTTATTCAAATATTTTTACAGAATTTACTTCATTCGTTTTATTTTTATAAATCTTTTTATCATCTCATATTTAACTCATTTATACTTTATTTATTTCAGAAATATATTCAATTATGTTATTATTACTTTACGTCTCGTTCCTTACACTAACACAGACAGAAGCTATCCGTGGCGCTTTATTCCGTACCGGTCGGTCAGCTGATGAAGAAATATCTCCTCAGCTAGTTGGAATAGCTAATAATGCTTTTAGCCCTAATACTTTGCCTGGAAATTGTCCTGAGGATGAGGAAGAAGAACAATTTTTAAGTATGGCATCACATCCTGCACTAATGGTGGATTTGAGACAATTACTAAAATTCTCACGGGAGAGAGCTTTGGCTGGAGAGGTTGGGAGAGAATTGGTGAGAAAATTTTTTGGTTAAAATATTACTGTAATAAATTTATAATATTTTTATTGTATTATATGAGTTGCTTAAGTGCATCTTTCAAATATTTAGTTAGAGAATATTTAATAAAATTATATTATACTCTTTAATCAGAAAAAAATTATACTCTTTCAACCAGAAATATCGTAAATGCTCTAATAAAACCTCATGTGTTTCTATTTTTCGATCCTCTCGTAATGTGTGCTTAATATTAGGGAGTGATCTTCAAATAGAAAGTCTGGTTCTATTAGAGCATTTACGGTATTCGTAATTTCTTTCTGCCTTGTCATGCTAAGGTTCTCCCGTTTTATGTCCAGTTTTCTGAACTAGAGATTATAAAATTATTTTATCGAATATTCAGTTCGTCCGATTGGATTTTACACAAAAAATAGTTTCATTCCATTTCCTATTCGTTCCGAAACATAAATCTCCTTTTTGGAATAAAATACGAAATTAGAAATGTTTGCTTACCTTCTAAATATACTACTAAATCACATAAATTACATTAAATTTTTAACATTAATTTAAACAAATCATTTAAGGTCCAACCTAACACCAATTCAAAATTTACCAATGAAGTAAAGGATACTCAACAATTCAAATCAAAACGTATGTCGAATGCCAGAAGAGCTAATTACCCATGGAAATCACCAAGACTTGCTGCATATATTGCTCTACTTAGAAATTCATATAAAAATAATTACCCCGGTTCTCTTTAAGAAAACAAAAGAACTTTTGTGATTAAAAAATTTTCATATTTTTATTCATAATATTCAATATTTTTGCTTTTTAAAAAGCATTTTTATCAAAAAATTTTTGTGTTGTCTGTGTATATTTAAAATTATTAAAATTTAGAAAAAAATATTTAATTTTTATGGAAATAATTATTATCATAACCCAGGCTTCGTATGTGCGGATTTTGGGGCGTAGTGACAGACGACCCACAGACAAGACCCACAAAGAAAAATTTTTACTAAAAGTTTAAAATAACAACATTGGACAAAGTTACGATTAAAAAAACAAACACCGTACCTATGGGTGTCGGCGAGCGCTTGTGCAAAACAAGCGTTGCAAAAGGCGTTTTGCGGCACGCGTCTCGCAGGAAGTCAAATGTCGCTGGGTTCTGCACTAGTAACATGTACCTATTCCTATTATCGCTGCTGCGGGCATGCCTGTCATTCTCCGCAGCAGTAAAAACCCCTTAAAAGAAGATAGGTCGGGCCAATATGTATGAAAGCACAATAGAATAAAAATAAGGAAAATGGTTTTGGGTCGTTTGATGGGTCTTCTGCGCCGACACGTGATTGTGGAACTTTTCGGTTCTGCCACACCCTTCCATATATTCGCAGGATAATTTAACGCAGGATAATTTCAAAAACTGATTTCGAACAAATTTTTAATTACTTTATTTCATTTAATGATTAACTACTACTTTTAATTGTGTAATTCTTGATTATTTTAAGTCAATTTTCATCATTCGTTTGCCTTGCATTCACTCCTAAAAATTAAAAAATTTTTATTTTATTTGTTTTTGCAATTTTTGCCATTTTCTATTCTACTTTAGTAGTCACTTACCGTACTTACTCGATTAATTCCCCACCCTCTATTAATTCACCATGCCATGGATGAGTTTAAAAAATAATCCCCCACCTCCGAATACAATACAAATACACGTTCAAATTTCAAAACTCGAATAATTCCCCTCCCTTGAATAATTCCCCATGCCACGAAATGGTTGAAAAAATAATTCCCAGCGAAATTAATCAAATAAATACGGTAGTTTTTTTCTATCACTTAGTTTGAAATTTACCTCTTCCTCCTCCTCCTCCTCTTCTTCTTCAACTTCTTCCTCCTCAACTTCTTCCTCTTCCACCTCCTTTTCTGCCGGCTCTTCATTCTTTTCCTCTTCCTTTGGTTTTGTCTCAACTTTAGCAGAATCTCCACTATCACTTAGTTTGGATGACTTTAAATTTTATATTTATTTATTAATATCTAACATAATCCAACCTCTCTTTCTTCAAATTTCCTCTTATATTTTTCAAAAGGATGACTAAATAATTAAAACTAAATTTTTAAGAAGCAATTTACGTATCCGATCCAGCTGATGCAGAACCGGGTGGACGATTTTCTTCCCACTCGCGCATAGCAGCTTCATACTCCTCTACCCTAGAAATGGATTATTTTAATGAAAATTATTTTAAAATTGGTTATTAATCTATCACAAGCAGTGATGCGGGAATTCCAAAATTTTGCAGGTTCCAGTTCTTTAACCGGTTCCTGAAATTTATCGGTTCCAGGCTCCAGTTCCTGAGCTGGAACTTTCGCATCACTGATTACATGATCAAGGTCGCTTATGATTCCATAAATTGGTTCGAATTCTTATTTTTGAAAAATAATTGGGTTTTTTCACAAGGGAGAGTGGAGGAAGTGGATAAGTTACGCTTATTCGGAGATTTCCAGAAGTATTATTTTCAAAAATTAGGGTTGTTTTTCAAGGCCAAGAAGTGCAAGTGGACTAGGTCCGCTTATTCGGAAGTTCCCAAAAGCTCATTCTAAGTAAAACAAACCATTCTTTTTTCCACCCCATTCTAGTCATTGTATTACGAGGCGTTCCAAAGCCTGTCATTCCCTTTTGTGAAGCTAATTTATTTGTGCCAGACTTAAATTAATAATTCAAAATAATTCTTTTTATTTTTTAATACTTGAAGAGGCACAATCCCTTCAGATTTTAATCGCGAGTCTTCCGGTATTTCTTTTCCACCAGTTGTGTGGGGAAGAACATCACGTACCTTTTTAATTATTTAATATAAGCAAATTTTTTACGTTTATTATAGTCATACTTTATAATTAAATATACATAAACTCTTTTGTCTTAAAACTATAATAAGATTTATGTTAAATGGGATTCCCGATTCCAGAAATCGGGAACTTTATTTTTGTCGAAAATTCCCGAAATCGGGAATTTTGTTTTCTTGTCGGCTCGTTCCCTAGTGAGGTTACACTCAGAGGTGAATTGGGATTCCGATATCCGACAGTTCCGATTTGAGACACCTTAGTCATTTTCGATTTACTTCTGGTTATACTGTATTTGATTAACCTAAATTTATGGTACATGCTTAAAATTTGTTTGTTATTGATAGTATGTAGAAGAATGCCCAATCAGCACTCCTACATATTTGAGATACACGCCGATATAATGCACAAATTTTAATTCTTAATGGTTGATTTAAAACGAGTTCCGACTAATTTTTATTTACTTTTAAAAATCCTCCAGTTCCCTTTTGTGAAGCAAATTTATTTTGGCCAGAATACCAAGGAGTAAATTCTGAACTAGCACGAATATTTTCTTCTCTTTAAAATAAAATATTTCCATATAATTTAATTAAAATTTATTATAAAAAAATTTTTTACGTAAATCCAAGCCCATCAATATCTTGTGTTGCTTGTCTGAATGCACCAAGCTAGAAACAAACATGTAAATTAAATTATTGGGAACTAAGCAAATTTTTTAATGATTCACCCCCGGTGCACCCAACATTCCTTGTTGAGAAGCAAATATATTAGTGCCATATTGATAACAAAGCTTAAAAATAAAGATTAAATTTTATTGCTGATTAATTAAAGTTTAATAACAAATTTTTTCTAATATTACATCACAACCTGTCTAATATTTTGTAAAATTTTCTTAGTTCTTGTTATATGTTATGGAAAGATATGTTTAGTTGAGTTATTATTTATTTTTTAAGAAAATTTATCGGGAATCTTATCAAAAACTAAAGTAAATACACAACCATATACCCTTATATGTATCTAGCGCAAGTAAATGACTGTTTTACATGCCATAAAGAATGCTTTTGCATTTTTACATAAATATTGTAATTATAATTCACCTAGGACATGATAAACGCTTATTTGTTAGGCGGGAAACGATCTAAAAAGATAGATTATTTATCGCCCCGGTAGCTCGGTTGTAGAGTTCCTATAAGTGGTGAGCGAAAGCGTCTTGCATTAACTACGAGGAGAGCGCAGGTTCGAATCATGTCCGGTGGCTAAACTTTTGCTAAATCTTTCTATATAAGCACTTATGAATCCGGCTCTTGATGCATATTTCTGCATATTTTTCGTATATAATTTTGTAAAATATTTTTAAAAATATTACCAATCCATGTGTTCGTCTATCATTGGGTAAACGTCCACGAATATTTGGCACTTGATTTCGAGGTGCTCCCATATTTACCTTTTTTTAACAATTATTTTTTAAATTTAAATTTAATCACTTCTCCAGCCTGTGTAGCAAATCCATAATCCCCACTTTGTTTAGGCAAAATTCCTTCGCCTTCCTTCTCCAAAATTGTTTCCCATTCCTTTTAAATATTTATTTTTTTTAGGTTCTGAATTTTATTTTCTAATAAAATTTCGAACCTAAAAATATTTCCCTTAAGATTCATCAAGTAACGAATCAATCACATTGTCGTCAATAATTCTATGGACACATGATAAACTTTTGATTTTTCAATTTTTATAAAATTTAATTTAAGGGCTTTCAAAAGAGGGGGGTTCTCCTTTCAAAAGACCCTATCATTATTTTATATTTTTTTTGAAATTCCATTCCAATTTTTATTCCTAATTTCAGATTTTTTAGTTTTTATTTTCCTATTTTGAAGATTCCAATAATTTAGACCTTAATAGTTACAAGTTTGAAAATATTTCTTTGAATTTATTACAATTATAAAATACCTTTTTGTATTCCACATTGGGACACTAAACAGAAAAATAATTGTTAATATAACCATATTTTTTTATAATTTACCTGATTTCTGTTTGCACCTATCGGTGTTTGTCCTGCCTGTGATGCGTATAAATTTGTACCTTTATAAAAAATTAAAAATTAATTTTCTCAAATATTTTTTATTATTTATCAAATAATAGATAACAAACCATTTAAACATTATTCTTATATTTTTAAGAGGAATAACCCTTACTCCGGATCCCAACCAAAAGATATCCCAACCAAAAATTCCGGATTTCCTGACTTTTTTCGGGTGAAGATATCGAGATCCGCCGACCTTAATCAATGTTTTACACAATGTTTTTCCCCTAAAGTAATTTATTAAGTATTGTCCCTATCTCAAATTCTAATACCGTAAATACTAGTGCTCGTTTTAAAATTTTGAAGTGTTTTACTAGTATTCGTTTTTGTGTATGAAAACAAGAAAAAATAAGGCCTTTCCGAAGTACGAGTACATGAAATTTTTATAATTCCAAATACTGTTCTTTAAACACTTGAAAAATTTTTGAAACAAAAACTCCAACACCCGGCACCGGTAGATTCATTATTATAACAATTCAAGCAAAAATAATTTTATTAAATTATTACCGCATTGTGGACGGAGAAATTCTTCAGATTTTCTGTCTGGCTCAATATAACTAAATAACCAGATATTTTAATTATTTTTAAAATAATTTAATTAATAACCCCAATTTTTTATCCATTGTAATATTTAAACGAGGCATTCCAGGTGCTATATTTTAAGTTTAAAAATTTAATTTACGCTCTAATTTATCTTTTTACCAGTCATTCCACGTTGAGTCTCAAATTTATTAGTCCCCGCTTGCATCGAAAGAAATCTTTAAGAAATCCAAATTTTAAAAATTTAATTAAAATAATTAAATCTACGTGTCCCCAGCTTTAAGTTTTTCATAATTCCATCGTCTCCGTACTCCACCCTCGCCATTTTGCTGCAAATATTTTTAATTTTTATTTTATAATGATTTCTTTAATATACAAGGTTACAAAAAATAACTGATGTGAGCAGTTTATTTTTAGCATAACTTTATCTAACTTTTAAATAATGGGATCAAATTAAGCTTATGTACATATATGATAGAGAATTAAACAAGGAACAGATATTATCACCCTCCCTTTGCTCGGAAACAAAAATTTGTTTCAAATTTCTTGTGAGATATTTTTGTAGACCCACGAACACTATTTCTTTATTAAAGCTTCATGAGAAAACCTATTCGATGTTTCAGTTTTTTTTCAAATTACATGCTAGTATCGGTCTGTAAAATTCGAAGCTATGAATCTTGATACTGTAAATATACCCTTAATGTTTCTCAAATTATTAATCAATCAATTTGAAAATCAGTTCTCAAAAATTTTTTAAAAATGGAAGTCCTATCATTTATTTTTCAATAACCAACCTCATCTTCCATGTTATTTTAAAAATTTAATTGAGAAATTTTTATTTTCTGGCAAGAATATTAAAACAATTAAACACTATAAAATAAATATTTTTAAAAAAATTTGAGGGAAAGCTTTTGACTTTAAATAATTAAAAAAAGTTAAATATATGTAGTATGTTAAACTAATGTTTCTTTACTTTTATTTTTATAAGCTAACATTGACTAAAGTGAAGATTTTGTGTTTGAATAGTAAAAAACTATAATAAAAGAGGGAAAATTATTTTACTAGGAACAGATATCTCTGAAACATAAAGGTATATTTAGGCGCAAATAGGTGAGGGAGAGAAAGTTGAGGGAGAGAAAAACTTATACATTTCTTCTGAATGTTACTCGAAGAGAACTGATTTCTTTGGGGAGGAGTTTTTAAATTTTCAGAATATTATTCTCTTTTTTGTTGTTATTCTTTACATTTAGTTTATCTTAATTTTGAATTAGTAGGTCAAGATTTCCGAATCTTACCAAATTTAGATTTAAACGGTTCCTCTCATCGAGCTAAAAAGTTTGGTACCAATTATAGATAAGGGCCAAAAATTTTCCAGCAAGTTATGGCTTTGCGCCGTAGCAAGTTATGGCTACTTCGGCGTGTTCCTGAATTAGTATATGATGAGGAAAACGAAATACTAATAATTTCTTTGAAGAAAATCTTTAACGGATCGGATATTATTTTTGGAATCAAATTTGAATTAATTTATAACATTTCAAATTAATATAAAACGTAAAATAAATTTTGAGGAATTAATATTAGCATCTATCGTAAACTATAAGACTACTAAACATATATTTAATTTTAGAATATTCTAACAACATCATCAATCTTTACAGAGTTACAATTTTATTTAGTAAGGAAAGCAGACGCGCCAACTATTTAACGCCAAACTAGCCAAGTCCTCAATATCCCCCTCAAATCCTCTTCTTAGTAGATCCTTTTCTCTCTCTTAAAATAAATGTGTAGGTATATTCTTGAATGCGCAGGCGTTGTTGCTTACGAAGAAAAAAACATAAAAGATGATAACGGAAAAAATTTTTCTTTTTTTTGTTTGTTTTTGACTGCTCAACTTTCTCCACTTCCGTTGAAGTTTTTTTTTGTTTTTGCTTCTTTTATCTTTATAAGAAAATGTAAAGTTGAATGCATCAAATCAGGGAACAATTTAAAAATAAAATTTTGATTGTTCAAAATTTGTGATTTAAAAATAACTAAAAAAAGTTAGCTCATTATTCATAATGCATATATCCTTTGTAGCTAAAATCCCATCTTATGATAATGATAAAAAGGAGGTGCTAATCGGTTAGTCAGACCTCCATTTAGTGACCAAAAACTTTCTGTACTTGAGGACAAAAATTCGAGAGTGCCAATTTCACTTTAACAGATTTCCGTAACGTTTACCCAAAATATTGAATCAAAGTCTTGATATATATTAAAATATCTATACAAAATAATATTGCCAATCTATCTACACTCAAAATCTCTTCCCAAAAATATTTTAATTTTCCCATTTATGCGGGTCTCTTCATTTACATAGGGTGAAATTTAATTTGAATAAATGTGGCAATTAAAATAAACGATCTTCAAAAACAGTTTACTGCCCAAATCACTCACTGCCCATTTAACCACTGCCCATGTCGCTCTGCCGAAATCATCAGACAAGATATAAAATATGACTACGTTTAATATATAAGTAAAATATTAACAATAAATATTTTATAATGCTATAAAATTATAAACTATATAATATAAAATTATAAAAAATTAAAAAATATTTCTTTTTCCCAATTTCTTCATTGAAAAGTAAAAAATAGAAAATCAAAAATATGTCCAGCTATAGCTCAGTTGGTAGAGCGTGGGACTGTAGTTGTTTAGCGGTGATCCTGATGTCGCTGGTTCGAATCCGGCTAGCTGGAATTTGTTTTTATTAACTTTTTAATAAAATTTTTTAAACTTTTAAATTCATTAAAAATTCATTTAAAAATTGGCAATTAATTTTAAAAACTTTTTTACAACAAAAACAGATTAATATGCAGAATAGTTATTTAGCTAAACTTGTGAAAAATTTGTTTTAAATTTTAATTAATTTTAAAAAAATGTCTTTTTTTTTAATTTGATCAGAGATGGTTTAAAATTCTGTTTAAATTTTGCTTTTTTCGAACATAATCTCAGAATTTTGAAAAAAAATTTTGCTAGGAAACAGTTTTGTGCATTTTAATTTATTATGGTAGAGTTTTAAATTTAATAATTGAATTCGAGAATATGTGGATTAAGGATATGTAAACAAGGTTAAACCAGGGTTTCGATATCTGCGGATTTTTGTCATTTTGTAATTTTTTGATATGTATGTCAATGAGGATCATTTTTAAAAATGCGGATTTGCGGATTTTTGTGGGCTTTTGAAGATTATGAGGATTTTTTATATTTTCTTTTAGTATCTGATATCTCTTTTAATCCATAGATAATTTTATATGTGAGTTTCTTCCTTTTTCACCGTCGGAGGCAAAATTTTGAAATATTTGAAATATTTTTTCTTCAATTTTAGTCTTGGGATTTAGCCTGACAAAACTAGGCATTTCTCACTTGGCCTTCCTAAGTTCACAAAATTTTTGCCTGCGGCGCTAAAAAGAAAAAAAAATGGGTTATTTTTGAGAAAATGATGGATTAATTGGGAGTTGGAGTAAAAACTCTTATTCCTTCTTTTTTTCCGCAAAACGTATATTCTTCGTTATTCCATTGATATCATCTAAATCACCCTTGATCAATTTAGAACCCCTTTTATCACCCGATATCAAACCTTTTATATCCAAAAATTCACTTATACACCACCGCTAATCCTTAATAACTCCTTAACTCTCGAAAAAAATTTCGTCTCAGTTTCGGTTAATCGGTTCGGTTTTGGGTAAGCGAAAGTTCACTAATATTCTCACTAATTTATAAAATCTCGATTTCATCGGGATTCAAAAACCCGCTATAATTTGATCCGGCAAACTAGTTTTTTTCTCGCCTGCGGAGCAAAACAGGATAATTTTTAACTTAAGGGTCTTCCAAAATTTTCAAAATTTGCATTTTTAAAAAAAATACAAATTATTAATAAAGGGTAATTTTTCAGCCTATACATATAAACGAGCTTAAAGCAAATCAAAAATATACGAAAATATACAACATATTAATCTACAAATTAAATGATTAAATCGACATTTACAATAAACAAATTATATTAGGGTATAAAAAAGATTATTTTTGAATAACTTATTTTCCCAAAAAACAGACTGGAATATCTAAGTTAAGAAAAACATTTGGATAAAAATCCATATCTTAAACTGACTTATAATTCAATTGTAGATCTAGTTCCAACATACGGATGACCTAAAAACATGGATATCTCTCCCCAATCATCGGATATCTGCCTTGTCACCAACTCCCTCAATACCCCTCATAGGCATTTTAATCACTCATAATCCCCACATTTTTTACATAATCCGTTTCAGGCCGATTTAATTAGAGAGAATAAAGAACTAAATAAAAGTCTTAAGAATTTTATGTGCCTCAATTGATATACTTATTTAATTATGCAATGTATTTTCATTTTAACTTTTTGCTCAAAAGTCGGTCCGCAACTTTGAATCCGCAATGTTCGGCACGTCATTTATTTAGCATTGAATCGAAAATTTGCAAGGCAAAACCTTGGAATTATTTTTTTCTCTTCCTTGATTTAAAATTAATTATTTTGTAATTTAAATTTTTAAAATTTATATAAAATTTTTAAAAAAGCTGTAAAGATTTACAAAAAAGAGAGTCAATCATTAAAGTGTAAAAATCATATACATAATAGATCAGGTACAATTTAGAACAAAAAATTTAAGGGAAATAATTTAAATATAAAATTTAATGAATTTCATAAATCATTTACATATATTTTTAAATAAATTTTTATTTTAATTAATTTAATATTTTTAATAAAAAAATTATATAATTTAGGTAATTGAAAGTAATGAAACTTTCAATTATTTTATTTTTTTGTCTGTTTTTAACAACAATCTTGGTTGATTCAAATGATAGTGATGATGAAAATGTTCAAGAACATCCCTTAGATGCTTATCGTTATCGAAATGTTGGGACAAGCGGGACAGGGACTGGTGGCCAAGAAGGAACTGGAACCGGAAGTAGTATACCCTCAACTGAGGGATACTTTACAGGAATGTCTTCTTCTAGCCTACAACCTTCTCATAATTTGTCACATTTGGATCTTAATTTTGATCCTAATCCCTTTCTTACAAATTCTCCTCAACATCAACCAAGAACTGGAGACTCTCAAGGTATGTACACTTCTGGCCTTATACCTCCCCAAAATTTGTCAGAATTGTATCTATATTAGGTAATTGTATC